AGATAAAATTTCTCAATGGCTTAAATGACTGCTTCTAGGAGCAGCTACTGCAGGAACCCACAAGGGGAGAGGCAATTCTCGATTTAGTCCTGAGTGGAGTGCAGGATCAGGTCCAGGATATAACCGTTACCGGACCGCTTGGGAATAGTGACCATAATATAATAACATTCAACATTCCTGTGGTGGGAAGAACACCTCAGAAGTCCAGTACCCTGGCATTTAATTTCAAAAAGGGGAATTACACAAAAATGAGGAGGTTAGTTAAACAGAAATTAAAAGGCACAGTGACTAGAGCCAAATCCCTGAAAGCTGCATGGAAACTTTTTAAAGACACCATAATAGAGGCCCAACTTAAATGTATACCCCAAATTAAAAAACATAGCAAGAGACCTAAAAAAGAGTCACCGTGGCTTAACCACCATGTAAAAGAAGCAGTGAGGGACAAAAAGGTATCTTTTAAGAAGTGGAAGTCCAATCCTAGTGAGATAAATAGAAAGGAACATAAACACTGTCAAATCAAGTGTAAACATGTAATAAGAAAAGCAAAAAAAGATTTTGAGGAACAGCTAGCCAAAAACTCAAAAAGAAATAACAAAATGTTTTTAAGTACATTAGAAGCAGGAAGCCTGCTAAAAAACCTGTGGGTCCCCTAGATGATCGAGCTATAAAAGGAGCAATCAAGGACAATAAAGCCAAAGCCTGCTAAAACACCTGTGGGTCCCCTAGATGATCGAGCTATAAAAGGAGCAATCAAGGACGATAAAGCCATTGCGGAGAAACTAAATGATTTCTTTGCTTCAGTCTTCACGGCTGAGGATGTTGGGGAGATTCCTGAATCTGCACCGTCCTTTGTGGGTGATGAATCTGAGGAACTGTCCCGGATTGAAGTGTCATTAGAGGAGGTTTTGGAACAAATAGAAAAACTTAATGTTAACAAATCTCCGGGACCGGATGGCATTCATCCAAGGGTTCTAAAAGAACTTAAATGGGAAATTGCTGAGCTATTATCTGTGGTTTGTAACCTATCCTTTAAATCAGCTTCTGTACCTAATGACTGGAAGGTAGCCAACGTGACACCAATATTTAAAAGGGGCTCTAGAGGCGATCCTGGCAATTACAGACCGGTAAGTCTAACTTCAGTACCGGGCAAATTAGTCGAAACAATAGTAAAGAATAAAATTGTGAAGCATGTAGAAGAACATAATTTGTTGGACAAAAGTCAACATGGTTTCTGTAAAGGGAAATCCTGTCTTACTAATCTATTAGAGTTCTTTGAAGGGGTTAACAAACATGCGGACAAGGGGGATCCAGTAGATATAGTATACTTGGATTTTCAGAAAGCCTTTGACAAGGTCCCTCACCAAAGGCTCTTGTGTAAATTACATGGCCATGGGATAAGAGGGAAGGTCCTTTCTTGGATTGAGAACTGGTTAAAAGACAGGAAACAAAGGGTAGGAATAAATGGTAAATTTTCAGATTGGAGAGGGGTAACTAGTGGTGTACCCCAAGGGTCAGTCCTGGGACCAATCCTTTTCAACTTATTCATAAATGATCTGGAGAAAGGGGTAAGCAGTGAGGTAGTAAAGTTTGCAGATGATACCAAACTGTTTAGGATAGTCAAGACAGAAGCAGACTGTGAGGGACTCCAAGAAGATCTCACCAAACTGAGTGATTGGGCAACAAAATGGCAAATGAAATTTAATGTGGATAAGTGTAAAGTAATGCACATCGGGAAAAATAACCCCAACTATACGTACAGTATGATGGGGGCTAATTTGGCTACGACAAATCAGGAAAGAGATCTTGGAGTTATCGTGGACAGTTCTCTGAAAACTTCCACACAGTGTGCAGCGGCGGTCAAAAAGGCAAATAGGATGCTAGGAATTATTAGGAAAGGGATAGAAAATAAGACCCAGAATATCTTACTGCCCCTGTATAAAACTATGGTATGCCCACATCTTGAATACTGTGTACAGATGTGGTCTCCTCACGTCAAAAAAGATATTTTGGCCTTGGAAAGGGTTCAGAAAAGGGCAACTAAAATGATTAGGGGTTTGGAACGGGTCCCATATGAGGAGAGGCTAAAGAATCTGGGACTTTTCAGTTTAGAAAAGAGGAGACTGAGGGGGGATATGATAGAGGTCTATAAAATCATGAGTCGTGTGGAGAGGGCTGATAAAGAAAAGTTATTTATTAGTTCCCTAAATAGAAGAACTAGAGGACACCAAATTAAATTAATGGGTAGCAGGTTTAAAACTAATAAAAGAAAGTTCTTCTTCACACAGCGTGTAGTCAACCTGTGGAACTCCTTGCAAGAGGAGGCCGTGAAGGCTAGGACTATAATAGAGTTTAAAGAGAAGCTAGATAATTTCATAGAGGTTAGGTCCATAACAGGCTATTAGCCAGGGGATAAAATGGTGTCCTTGACCTCTGTTTGTCAGAGGCTGGAGAGGGATGGCAGGAGACAAATCGCTTGATCATTGTCTTCGGTCCACCCTCTCTGGGGCACCTGGTGCTGGCCTCTGTCGGCAGACAGGATACTGGGCTAGATGGACCTTTGGTCTGACCCAGTACGGCCGTTCTTATGTTCTTATGTTAAGTGGAAAAACTGGTTGACATGCCATACTCAAAAAGTAGTTCTAAATGGTCTGCTGTCAAACTGGAAGGGTACTTAAAGTGGGACTTTCGGGGTGTGTCAGCCCTGACTCCAGGATTATTCAAACTTTTCACGAATGCCTTTGATTATAGAGTGGCGAGTATAAAATATGCAGATCACACCAAGCTGGAAAGGACTGCAAGCACTTTCAAAGACAAACTCAAAAAGTGACCTTGACAAATCAGAGATTTGGTCTGAGGTAAAAAACATGAAATTCAATCAAGTGCAAACAGCTACTGTTAGGAAGAAAATATGAAATGCAAAACTACAAAATGGGGAACAACAGGTTAGGAGGTACTACTGTTGAAAAGGGTCTGCATGTTTTCCTGGATCACAAACTGAGCATGAGTCAACAATGTCATGCAGTTATGAAAAAGGATACCACCACTCTGGGATATACAAAAGCAATGTTATATGTAAGATCTAGGAGGTAACTACCGTCCTGTTCTTGACACTGGCGAGGCTTTAGCACTGTCTAATACTGGGCATCACACTATCAAGACATAAAGTGGAGAAAATCCAGAAGATAGCAAGAAAAATGATACAAGGTTTAAAAAACACAACCTATGATGAAAAGTTAAAAATACTGGGCATGTTTAGTCTTCAGAAAAGAAGAAAGTGGGGAAACAGTCTTCAAATATGTTAAGAGATGTTGTAAAGAGGTAGGATAAATAGCAACAGGCTTAATCTGCAGCAAGGAACAGATTAGATATCTATAAACTTAGATAATCTTTAGATAATCTATAAACTGGACAAATGCCAGTCAAGGATGGCCTAGGTATACTTGGTCCCGCTTAGGCACAGGAACCGTAGGTTCACTCCTAATCTTGTCCTTAATTTTTGTGGTTCTATTATACTTCAGTCATATCTGGGTTGAGCTTCAACCAGTTACCTGTTATCCACTCCCCAATCTCTACTAGACATAGGCAAAGGTCCTTAACTGCTATGTCAGCGTTAGACATAAATGAGACAAAGTCTGGTCTGGTCTGCATCTGAAAATGTCATGCCTCCATTTCTTGTTGCTGACTTTCACCAACAGCTTCACATGCACACTGAATAAGAATGGCAATACAACACTTAAAAGCTTGTACAGAAGGAACAGCTATTTTCCCCAACTAACCACTGCGACAAGTCACAAAAAATGCCCAGTTTTGGGGATAAAAACTTCCACCTCCACAAGGAACTTTTTTCTTTCTCCCTCCCTTTACTGTCAACAATCACGCAGCATGCACCACAGGGGGGGGTTTAATGCCTTTATTGAAATACAGGATGTTTCCCACAATGCCCAAGTAGGCACTCCGGGCAGCACTTTAAACTCTGCTGCCTTGCAGCCAGATAAACAGCAATCCATTCTCCCCCCTTGTACACCCCAGACAATCAGGAAATTTAAACTCCATTTCCTGCTCGGTGGCTTAGCATAGATTGTTCTCATTGCATCTTCCTAACTGATCATGGTTGACTGTCACTCCAAAGGCTCTCCTGCTTGGATCATCACAAAATGTTTGGATTTTATCAGTGTGTGTGTGGGGGGGGAAGGAGGGGGGGAGTATGTGCAGTCCCAGCTGCAAATGACCCGTAGGAATGAGGACACATATGGCCACATTTCTTGAGCCTTGTGAGTGAAGGCGTATGATCAGAGCGCACTGCACTACAGAGCAAAGATTAAAGAGCTGAGGTAGTCACATCATAAGGAAAGGGAGACCAACTTTTGTTCTAGTGCTGCACCCAAGAAAAATTGTTTATAAGGAGCTGAACGCAATCCTGGGAAATAATTCCACCTCCACAGCCAAGAATCCTGTGGATACGTCTGGAGGCACGGAGGCACTGAGTCAACCAAAAGAGGACTTAACCCAGAGGATAAAACTATAGATGAAGAGAGGGAGCTACAGGAGGATGCAGGGCGGCCTGGTGTGGCAGAGAACCAGGAGCTGTTCTCAAGTACTGAGGTAAATGGCGAGTTTCAGCAGCATCTCAATAGGAAGCAGGATGCAAGGGAAGAGGCTTGCAAAGGAAGCAGGATGCAAGGGAAAGTAAGTGGCTCTGGCTCAAGGAGTACAGTAGTAGAGAAGGGAGGTCACAGTAACATATGAGGGTGGCTGTGTTTCTGTGAGATGGCATAGCCTAGTATGGCTAGACATTACGCCTTAGCAGGGTGCTGATGCATACCACGATGTCAACTGAATCCTGCAGAGAGATGCTCTGGAAACTTTACCTGAGGTATTTATTGATTTTCTCTCATAGATTTCATGACAGTGCAGCTGTGTCCCCTCACCCCTTTGATACAGCACTCTCCCATACCATTCTTCAATCTGTATTGCAAGAACCAAAATGGCAGATAATTGACCTGCATAAGGAGTGGGGCGACACCCACTAGCATCAGAAGTAGAGCCTGAGTTTCCATGGTTACCCTTATGAGTAAGATATTAGGAAATGCGATGACAGCCTGTGGACAAATGAGACACCATTAGAATTATTTTCATGCAAACCTGCTGCATTAGCCAGGACTGTATTATTTATGCCTCTGGGTACACTCCTCATTCCTCTTTCCCCAAACTCATCATGTTTACAAGTGCCTGCAGTCATGTGTGAGTCTTGCTAGGGCCAGTGGAAAAGTGGCAGCATGTTTTGAAAAAAAAAACTGCTTTTCAATAAAATGTTTCAACCATGAGCAGGAAATCAACATTCTCTCTTTTGTTACAGTCTATGTTGCAGATGAGACCTTGACAACTCAGAAAATGTCTCTCGCTGACAGACTGTATCAACTAAGGAGACCCAAGTGAAGTACGGAGGAACTTATGAAGGAGGTTCTGAACCATAGCACAATGGAAGCACAAAAAATGGAAGAGCAATGGCTGAGTGAAAAGAAAGATAAGAAACACACCACTGATACTGTGATCAAGGTTATGGAGGAGCAACCAGATGTTCAGATGTTTAATTAAGATGCAAAGTGAACAGAAATGGTCTTGACCTCCCTTGTACCAGTAACAGAATTCTTTGTCCAACAACCTATCGTCTACACATCTGCCTGGGAATTCTCTCTTTCTGTCACATTCCGCTCCCTATCACAGAGGTGACTGACACCTGTACCTACATGCAGTCATGAGATTTTACGTAACCTAAACCCTCCCTTCCCAGAAAACATTGATCCTAGGTATGTGACCATAATTTGCAGTGATCAATAAAGGTAAACATTTTTAATAGTACAATGACTATTTTCTATTCCACAACCCCTACCAAATGCTTAGGCCACAGGTACATGCTATTAAAGCTCTTTCTTTCACAAGAATGCGTTACTTTGGATGAGGAGTGGGATGCTGCAGAGAAGCAATCCCAAAAGAAACATTTCAACACCCCTCATTGTCAAAATGATGCCTCAAAGCCTTCTTGATGTTAACGGCAGTCCCATTGTCTCCTCTCACAGACCTAGTGTCTGGCTGCTGTACCCAAATACTGTGCTTCAGTGGTCCATCCATGAGCAAACATTTCACCCTTATTTTCACACATTATGAAAACAGCAGCATAATATATAAAGTAGGAGTGTAATATAAACTATGGGAATATGATCCTCCAGAAGATCTCACCTGCTATAGAAACACCTCTATCTCCCTTTCAATCTACCAAAGGCATATTCCAGTATCAAGCAGCATCAATTCAGCCTGTTGAACTGTTCCTTACTCCTGTCCAGATTGCCCATGAAAGGTTTCATGAGCCAGGGATATAAGGTGTAAGCTGGGTCACCGAAGATCACTATGGGCATTTCTACACCCTCCACTGTAATCTTGTGCTCTGGAAAGGAAGTCCCCACCTACACCTTTTTATATAGGCCAGTGTTCCTAAAGATGCGTGCTTCATGCACCTTTCCAGTTCACCTTGTATTTATGTCCGTTAAATTTCCATGGTGATCCACAAGTTCCTGAAGCATCATTGATAAGTATTCCTTCCTTTTGATGTACTCTCTGGCAAACCAGGCTGATGCTACAATTCAAGTCACATTCCTCTACAGCAGAATACAATTTATTGCCCTGCAGACTGGTAGCAATTGGACATGCCAGCCTCCACACAGCAATTGCTACATACTTCTCTACCGAGAGGGCAGCTCTCATTCATGTTTCCCTGTGCCACAATTCAGAGGGCAGCTCTGCAAACAGCTTAAGAAAGCTGCTGTAGAAACTGGTCTTCATCTAACACCCGCAAAACAATCCCACTCTTGGGTGTTTTTTTCCTTAGCCCAAAAGTGACTGTATATCCAGAGGTATTCTCAGACAGCCAAAAGCAGTGCCAAGTTGCCCAGTCCATCTCACTCACCATGTCATCCGCCACAACTCTTCCTCCTGGCAGTAATTTCAACTGTAACTCTTCTGCATTACGTGATATCCTCACATCACTGAACACAGCATAGGAAAAAACTGTGAGATCCGTGATTTCTCACAGGAGATGCTGGGAATGAGCAGCAAAGGCTGGCTGATTTACAAATGGTGTGAAAAGGAGGGGCCTGTCCAAATCACAGAATCATAGAGCTGGAAGATACCTCAGAAGGTCATCAAGACCAGCCCTCTGCCCAAGGCAGGACCAATCTCAACTAAATCAACCCAGCCAGGGCTTTGTCAAGCCAAGACTTAAAAACCTTTAGGCATGGAGATTACACCACCTAGGTAACCCATTCCAGTATTTCACCACCTTCCTAGTGAAATAGCTTTTCCTAATATCTAACCTAGACCTCCCTCACTGTAACTGAAGACCATTGCTCCTTGTTCTGCCATCCGTCACTACTGTGAACAGCCTTTCTCCATTCTCTCTGGAACCTCCCTTCAGGAAGCTGAAGGCTGCTATCAAATCACCCCTCATTCTTCTCTTCTGAAGACTAAACAAACATAAATCCCTCAGTTTCTCCTCATAGGTCATGTGTTCCAACCCTCCTAATCCTTTTGGATGTCCTCTGCTGGACCCTCTCCAATGCATCCACATCCTTTCTATAGTGAGGAGCTCAGAACTGGACACAATACTCCAGATATGGCCTTACCAGAGCTGAATAAAGAGGAATAATCACTTTTCTAGATCTGCTGGCAATGCTCCTTCTAATGCAGCCTAATACGCCATTAGCCTTCTTGGCTACAAGGGCACATTGTTGACTCTCATCCAGCTTCTAATCTACTGTAATCCCCTAGGTCATTTTCTACAGAACTCCTACTTAGCCATTAGGTCCCCAGCCTATAACAATGCCTGGGATTTTTCCGTCCCAAGTGCAGGACTCTGCACTTGTCCTTGTTGACTCTCATCAGGTTTCTCGTGGCCCAATCCTCTAATCTGTCTAGGTCACTCTGGATCCTATCTCTGCCCTCCAGCATATCTACCTCTCCCCCTAGCTTAGTGTCATCTGCAAACGTGCTGAGGGTGCAATCCATCCCCTCATCCTGGTCATTAATAAAGATGTTGAACAAAACTGGTCCTAGATCCAATCCTTGGGGATGCCACTAGAAACTGACTGCAACCTGACATCGAGCTGTTGATCACTACCTGTTGGACCTGACATTCTAGCCAACTTTCTGTCCATCTTACAGTCCATTTATCCAATCCATACTCCCTTAACTTACTGGCAAGAATATTGTGGGAGACCGTATCAAAAGCTTTGCTAAAAAGTTAAGGTACATCACATCCACTGACTTTCCCATATCCAGAGAGCCAGTTTCCTCATCACAGAAGCTAATCAGATTAGTCAGGCATGATTTGCCCTTCATGAATCCATGTTAACTATTCCTGATCACTTTCCCCTCTTCCAAGTACTTCAAAATGGATTCCTTGAGGATCCCCTCCATGATTTTTCCAGGGACTGAGGTAAGGCTGACTGGTCTGCAGTTCTCTGGATTGTCCTCCTTCCCTTTATTAAAGATGGTAACTACATTGGCCTTTTTCCAATCATCCGGGATCTCTCCCAATCTCCATGAGTTATCAAAGATAACGGCCAAAGGCTCTGCAATGACATTTGCCAACTCCCTCGGTACCCTTGATGCATTAAATCCGGACCCATGGATTTCTGTACGTTTAGCTTTTCTAAATAGTTCCTAACCTGTTCTTTCCCCACCAAGGGCTGTCCACCTCCTTCCCATACTGCATTGTCTAGTGCATTAGTCAGGGAGCTAACCTTGTCTATGAAGACAGAGGCAAAGAAAGCATTGAGTACTTCAGCTTTTCCCACATCATCTGTCAGAAGGTTACCTCCCTCATCCAGTAAGGGCCCCACACCCTCTCTAATCACCTTCTTATTGCTAACATACCAGTAGAAACCTCTCATTAGCCTTCACACATCACTTGCTAGCAGCAATTCCAATTACATAAGAACAGAACATAAGAACGGCCGTACTGGGTCAGACCAAAGGTCCATCTAGCCCAGTATCCTGTCTGCTGACAGTGGCCAGCACCAGGTGCCCCAGAGAGGGTGGACTGAAGACAATGATGAAGCAATTTGTCTCCTGCCATCCTTCTCCAGCCTCTGACAAACAGAGGCCAAGGACACCATTTTATCCCCTGGCTAATAGCCTTTAATGGACCTAACCTCTATGAAATTATCTAGCTTCTCTTTAAACTCTATTATAGTCCTAGCCTTCACAGCCTCCTCTGGCAAGGATTTCCATAGGTTGACTACACGCTGTGTGAAGAAGAATTTTCTTTTATTAGTTTTAAACCTGCTACCCATTAATTTAATTTGGTGTCCTCTAGTTCTTCTATTTAGGGAACTAAAATAAATAACTTTTCTTTATCGGCCCTCTCCACACCACTCATGATTTTATATACCTCTATCATATCCTCCCTCAGTCTCCTCTTTTCTAAACTGTAAAGTCCCAGTCGCTTTAACCTCTCCTCATATGGGACCCGTTCCAAACCCCTCATCATTTTAGTTGCCCTTTTCTGGACCCTTTCCAAGGCCAAAATATCTTTTTTGGGGTGAGGAGACCACATCTGTACACAGTATTCAAGATGTGGGCGTACCATCGTTTTAAACAGGGGCAGTAAGATATTCTGGGTCTTATTTTCTATCCCTTTCTTAATAATTCCTAGCATCCTATTTTCCTTTTTGACCACCGTGGAAGTTTTCGGAGGTCTGTCCACGGTAACTCCAAGATCTCTTTCCTGATTTGTCATAGCCAAATTAGCCCCCATCATACTGTACGGATTGTTGGGGTTATTTTTCCCCGATGTGCATTACTTTACACTTATCCACATTAAATTTCATTTGCCATTTTGTTGCCCAATCACTCAGTTTGGTGA